CACAATTTTTAAAGGAATTTTCTCAAAAAAGCCCTTTTTTCATGATGCTGTCACCTCCAGCTCCCCATTCTCCTTTCACTCCTGTTCCATGGTATGCCAAGAATTTTTCAACAAAATTAGCTCCACGAACACCAAACTTTGGTGTTTATGGTGGAAAGGTTAGTGCCAGCAAATTGAAATACCTAAATGTGATTGAGCATTATATTTTTTAAACTTCTAATTGAAACTTCTTATTTGCAATTAATCACTAAATTTGTCATCATAATATGTTGTGTATTACTGAAAAATGAGAAGTTGAAACTAGGATGAATCGATAACTAGGAGTAGTTTAAATTTTGTCCTTATTTCTCTTTAATAAATAGAGCATTTGGTCTTTGTATTAACTTTCTTTCCTTTATCATAATAACCTTAGATATACGTTTATGGTATTTAGAGTATGACTGATTACAAAGTAATTACTTCTCTCTGTGGATTTTGGATTAAGTATGTTAGACTTATAATCTCCATTTTTCTGGATAATGAGAACTAAAGAAGTACAAACTTGATAACATTCTTGTGGAATATTTATAAGCATTTTTCACAAATGACAAAAACTCTTATTTCTTGTTAACCCTTTTCAGCTCCATGAGAGTATGTTGTCATTTCTGCATATGCATTCCTAACTATTGATACTTCAAATGTCACCATATCTGATGTTTAAACACTACAAATATATAGTATAATAAACATTGAACATTTTTGAACCCAGTTGAGATAATACCATTATGAAATAAATATGTAATTGTTCGAAGGCCAAGTTTCATACATACTTAACAACAGTAGAGTTAGAGATCTAATGCATCATGTGCTATTCCAGTTTGTTGAAATAAATTTTGAAATAAAACATATTTCATTGAAACAAGTATAAATAGATAATACTTATTTTGTTCTGTCATTGGATAAAAGTTACCCCTTTTCTCCTTTTATAAATTGCATATAGCTGATTCTCTCATACTTTCAAATTTTTATCAGCAGTAACATTTGTAAAATGAAAAAGCAACTGCCAAACGAAAAATGCATGAGAGCCAATAAAATTTATGTATTACCTTTATTTAGCTTACAAAAAATGCAAAACAATGATATAATTAAAGTATTTGAAGACATGATCCAGAATGACTTCTGGCTTAATAACATAATATTTATAAAATTGAAATTCATATAAAGAATAAAATTATATCTAAACCCACAGAATCTCAGCTATGTTTTGTATGTTGATAAGTAGGCAAGTAACTTTAAGTTTTTAATTCCCAAATAAAACTTACAACTGAGAGGGAAATAATCACAGTTTGGCTTGATTAGCAACTTGGATTTTTTTTACTATTTTATATCAAAACAAAATTCAAAATGTAAATATTCAGTTGTAGTTTTTAATTTGCCCTTAAAAAAGGTATAGGATTGGAAAATATTAAACTGACAAGCAGCTGTTTAAATTTTGTCAGTATGTGGAATTTGATGTCCAAGAAAAATAAAGAAATTACATTGCGAAATAAAAAAAACAGTTACCTTGATGTGAAATTTGTTGTATTAGTTCCTGTACTGTGTTCTCTTGACATTAAAAGTGTTTTTGTATGTAATTTGTATTGTGTTATCTTGATATGAAACTTGCTGTTGTGTGTAATTCCTATATTGTGCTGCCTTTATGTGAAATATATTGTTATATGTAGCTCCTGCATTGTGTTATCTTTATACAAAACACGTTTTTGTATGTAGTTCCTGTGTTGTATTTTTGTGATATGAAACCCGTTTGTGTATGTAGTTCGTGTATTGTACTGTCTTGATGTGAAATGTGCTTTCATATTTTATTCCTGAATGTGTCGCCTGGATATAAAACTCTTTGTTGTGTAGTTCCTGTATTATGATGTGGTTTTGATGTGAAACATGTTTGTGTAGTATGCTCCTGTATTGTATTGTTTTGATGTGAAACATGTTTGTGTAGTATGCTCCTGTATTGTATTGTTTTGATGTGAAACTTATTTGTCTATGTAGTTCCAGTATTATGTTATTTTGGTATGAAACTTGTTTGTATATATGGTTCCTATAGTGAGTTGTTTTGGTATAAAACCTTATTGTATATGTACTTTCTCTTTGTGTTGTTTTGATGTGAGACATGTGTTTATTACTCTGCTGTTTTGTGTTCTCTTTATGTGAAACTTGTTTGTGCATGTAGTTACTGTATTGTGTTGTCTTAACATGAAATTTGTTTGTATATTTAGTTACTGTATTCTTGAAATGATAGAATAAATCAACAATCTACAGCTTGTGTTCATACCAAAGAAAAGGAGTGCTAATTCATTTACACAACAAACTTTAAGCACCTTGGTAAAACACTTTTACTTAATGAGTAATCTTTCAAGTTTTTTTGTTTTTGGTTTCAGATATATTATTACATTGAACAACAGTGCTTGAACTGATAAAACCAGTGAGCACTTATACAGTTAGAATATTTTTGTATGAATAGAAACACCATTTAATCGGGCCAGTAATTATGGAGTTACTCTTGGTTGGATAAGCAAAATTTTATGTGTTTGGATTATTCCAAAGTTGATACATTTTGTGGAGCTTTCTTTGTATTTGTGGCTTCACAAAATATTACTTATCATTGTTTTTGTAATTTTTAAGGGTAGAAGAGCAATCTATGTACTCTTTTTTTTATTTCAGGAAAAACATTGGTTGCTTCAACAGCCACCTCATCCATTATCAAATGAGGTTATTAAAAATATTGATGAAACATTTAGAAATCGGTAGAGTATAATTTTTCTTGTTCTTTAAGTTGCTTCTGTTTGTGGCAAAGTGTGTTATAGAAAAGTATGGTTTCTTTTTAAAGACTTGTAAGGAGGATTCATACACATCCTTCAAAGCCATGAAAAGTTAGTGAATTTATTTTAAGTCATAACAATTATTAGATATCAGTAAATTACTGCTTATTGGAAAGAAATATGTAAAAGTCAGAGATAATGAAAAATTCAGGAATATTATCCTCTACAAGTGAAATTTTAGCCATGAAGAAATATAAGTAATTTCTATAATTTTGTGCTAGAGTTAAAAATAATGAATTTTGCAAAATTTTCAGTGCATTCAGGACTTGAATATCTATGGGTGTGTGTGCAACAAAAAGATGCTATTTTGTGATTGCATTTAGCTGAAGGATGCAATAATCTCAACAAAACAATATGCACATTGTATAAGAAATCTTTCCAATCAGGCAGCACAGGTTAAAGGGCTCTGACAAGTCATATGGAAGGTACAAATAACATTACGTGATTCAAAATGTTATATGACTTCATTCAGTAGCAAAGAAAAGGCCTCTGGGAATAGCCTGTATATACTTTATTTATTTTATAACTACATCTAGTGATTATTTATTATTTTGGTTAGTTAGTAATTATTTCTGCAAATATAGTAAATGTAGTGATTTTAGGCATCTAATCATTAACTGTTAAGGACATTTTTAAAATCGCTAAATACTGATTTTGGAGTTAATTGGACTTCACATTCATTTCATTTTCTAACTTAACCAGTCTGTTAGCTGAGATTTTTGTTGAAAAATATTCCTTGAAGAACCTTAAAATTGTATGCATGTTAGCAATATTTATTTTTGTTATCCCTTAAGTTCAAGAATGTATATATATATATATACATAGTCGTTAAATATTTCTTAATTTTTGATACCAACCATTGTAAAACAACTTTGGCCAAGGCATACAAGGAAAAATGTTGCAAGTGTAATGAGGCCTGAAATGGCTGGTGGTTAGGGCACTAAATTTGCAATCTGCAGATTATGGGTTTGAATCCTGTCACTTTAATTAATTGCCCTTTAGCCATGGAGGCATTTCAATGTTATAAGCATCCCCACTATTTGTTAGTAAAGAGTAGCTCAATAGTTGGCAGTGTGTGGTGTTGACTAGCTGCCTTCCCTATAATCTAGCACGTTGAAATTAGGGATGGCTAGTACAGATAGCCCTTGAGATGTACATGAAATTAAACAAAACAAACAAACAAGCAAAGGCAAAATTTGATTGTTCTATGTCTGTCATTCAGCCTAGTGTAAACAGATGAACATTGCTTAGTGTGACACAAAACAATTTTATAAAAAGTTATTTAAAAATGAACTATTTGTTGCTATTTGTTTGAGCTCCATCCATATGTTGTAAGCATTACACCAGTTTGCAGTACAAACCCTTATCACTAGGTATTATAGAAGTATGGATATACATATGTATTTATGTATAAAATTAGAGTTTGTGCTTTAAGATTTTCTATACAACTATTACAAGATTGTTCTCTATCATGAAAACGACTTTGTTTTGTGTTTCCAGATGGCGTACGTTACTATCAGTTGATGATCTGGTTCAGAAAGTGTTCCATGTTCTGAAGAGAATAAAGGCTTTGAATAACACTTACATTTTCTTCTCTTCAGATAATGGATTTCATTTAGGTAAGTATCATAATTAACAAAATTTGTATTAAAACAATAAAAACATTTCAAGTCTCTTGCTTCCATTTGGATAATTTCCAATACGATATGTTAACACAAAATAGTTTTTTTTTTATTAGTACTACCCTCTATCGGCACAAATTTTCAATTCTTGCCGCTAGCCTTCCACTTCCTGCTTCTGCAAATGATCATGCAGCAGCCCTCCACCAATAGAAGTGCAATACAACCCCTATTGTAACCAGAGCCCTCTTCACATTTGCACTCATTAATCACTTTTCAATTGACAGTTGTACTGTACAGACATGCTGCTTTTTGCTTGTGGATTTGTCAACATTGTTCTTTATACTACAGACTTAGTTTTTCTTTACTGTTTATTTATATTTTCTCATTTTGGAATTATGAAAGGTTGCATTTTTCAACTTTTCTTATTTTTTTAGGGGCCTTTTTCACTAGCATATTGTGGATCCCACTCTGTGGCAAGTGGTGCCTGACAAGTCATACTTTTTTTTTTGGAAAATTCTCACTGTCCATCCTGTGACCATGTTTGATGTCAATTACATTGTAGCCTTTCCTACTGCAAACCTGATGTATAATTCCAGGTGCCACCAGGTGTTGGTTGTGTGTCTCTGTTCTATTGTCATCTATGCTTAAACAATTACATTGCAGGATTGGGTTATGCACACCGTAGAGATGGGGTGTTCCATAAGACTGCTAATAGTTCTCTCTAATGGTTTTATACTTCATAAATATGTTTGACCTGGACCATACACTCATGGACTAACATGAGTAAAGCAGACAGAGATTGCTGCCCATCTCTGATACTCCGCAGTGTTGAGATTCTTCCTACCATAGACGTGATGTACAATTCCAGATTTCATCATGTTTTGGTTGAACAACTCTGTCGACATAGTAGCTCTGCTTTACAAAATAGGGTATCATGGTCACCCACTGTACTGTCTGTGGTGATGCAGTCCTCCAGACCCTCCGAGTTTTCCCATCCTTTCTTCTAGTGGAGTATGGGAGCCCCTACCACTTACTAGTTTCTAGCTGCTGGGGTGCTGGATGATGGAGGCCTGTCTTCCTGAGAGATGAATTATACCACTCAGATGAGAATAGGGCAGTGGCATTCTGCAGGTGTTGCTAGTGTATACATTTCCTTCTGCAGACCTGATGTACATTTCCAGATGCCACCAGGTTTTGGTTGCAGCACTATGCTGTATTCCTGTCTATATATCTGATTGATTGTTTTTTTCTACCATGTCATTCCTCCTTCCTACCATCTTCCAGATGTACATTCCTGGTGGGTCCGGTGTTGGTTGGAGATGGTCCAGCTAATTAAGTCCTCATGTGTGCTGGCCAGTATCCCTCCTCCTACTGTGGACTGGATACCAAATGCCCATTGATGCGAGGTTTTGGAATGGAGATGCACCTCATTTTGCAGTCCCTCTTCCTACTGTCTTCTGGATGTCAGTTCCAAGTGGATCTAGTGTTGGTTGTAGCTGGATGCAGCACGTTTTCCCACTTGTGCACGGCCGGGTATCCTCCTCCTACCATGGACTTGAAATACTATACCCCTTGCTGCCAGGTTTTGGACTGGAGATATCATCCCGCCAGGGATTTCCACCTTCCTACCATCCACTAGATGTCAGTTCCCAGCAGATCTGGTGTTGGTTGTGTTGAAAATGTGCACAAGTGGAGACTGATCTTGGTACGGAAGCTCGCCTTCCCTACCAATTCCCATTTTGAAGTGAAGAGGTAGGTGATCCTCTACCTATCGCGGATCTAATGTACCATTTCAGATACTGCCTGGTGTTGGATGAGGTCGAACTACCACTATGGTCTGTCACGCTCTAGCCACTCGACACTCAAGGGTCCTATTAATTGGTCATACATATTCTAGGATTACTTTATGTTTTTCTGCCTTATGTTTGCAACACAGTCACAAAAGAGTAAAGAGTATACCTGAATCAGATGTAATGCAGTCTCTTGCTGAGATGTGATGTTTTCTCTTTTGGTTCCACACCTCCTGGTCTTTCTTTGGGTGCTTCCTAAATGGGGCTCATTTTTACACAGGCCCTCTGCCAGTTGAATGTAGGATTCTAACTATTTTGTGAGAGAAAGATATCATATCAGAAGTTAGCATTTTCCTACACTGAAAATGTATTTTCGATAGATACTTACCTCTGCTTATATTTTTTCCCCAGGCTTCCCACTTCCTGTGATATATAGTGTAGGTCTTATGAACAATCTTGAAGTGATTAATGAGTTCAAATGTGAAGAAGGTGCTGGTTACGATAGCGGTTATGTACCACTCATATTGGAGGTGGAAGGCTAGTGGCGAGCATTGAAAATTTTCACCAATAGAAGGCAGTACTAATCGATAAAAGTTGTTTTGTGAGAGGAGGTAAGTATCTTTTGGAAATACATTTTCAGTTTAGGAAAATGCTAACATTTACCAATAGACATGGCTTCCATTTGGTCCAGTTTAAAGAAAGAGAATGTTTACCAATACAATAGGCTTCCAATTGGTCCAGTAAATAATGTTTTATGATAGCAGTTTTTCATTTCTGCTAACAGTCTGGATACTTGGTTATTGTTTGGCCAGAAATGTTGATTTTAAGTTCACTTTCAAGTGAGTGTTGTATATTGGGATATCTTTAAGTATAATACATTTTTTGAAATAAAGACTCTCATGCAGAACAAGAACTTTCATGCTCAAGTACATTTGTAAACTATTTAAGTATAATAGATATGTAAAACAAAGATTCTGCATGCAGAACAAGAACTTTCATGCTCAAGAACATTTGTAAACTATTGTAAAATAAGTGTGTACTAATGCATATTATGTTGAGCTTTATAATTTAAGGTCTTCTTTAAGACTGGCAGGTTTATTAAAACTTACTCTTCATATGTCCAACTGCCAACAGCAGTAGTATGAGAAATGTTACACATTTTCAAATACTTAGTGCTACATAACCTACCTGTATTCTTAGATGAAGGGAAATACATCTTCCATCTGCTACCTGTCACTTTTGACCAGCATGCTACTAATACACCCTGGTAGTACCTTGACAGCATAGTTTAGCTGTAAGTACTTCATATATGGTATGTATTTGTGTATTTTTGTTATTATTGTATGCAGATAACTTGATGGATAAATAAGAAAAATGCACATAAAAAGTATCATTGTAGGTCAGTTTTCACTTCCACAAGATAAAAGACAGCTTTATGAGTTTGATATCAGAGTTCCTTTGCTAGTGAGGGGACCAGGAATAACACCTGGAACAGTGGTTAAGGTAAGGATTTGTTGCTATAAAGGAATTGTCCTGAGAATTAAAATATTCCAAAACATACTTATCTCTGCTGACACTATAGCTGTTTCTTGACTTCCAGGGTTTCCATACTTTGCCAATCTAAGCATTGAAAATACTTGCTCCAGTCTTTTATATCTCACTCGAATGCCCTTGGCAATTTCTAATTTGCAAAATTCTCTATAAATTTCAATGCGCCCCATATCTAGGTACTGTACATAAGCACCTCATTTAGATAATGTAATAATTTTTTTCTCACCAAAGTGTTTGGCACGGGTTTCTGTAAACTGGAGTGTTGTGATTATTCACAATTTATGTTGCGTCTTTCAAAATATTTTTACTACTGTTATATCTTCATTTATATTTATAAATCAATTTAAAAATAAAACATACTGACAGGTATGAATTCCCGAGTTAATGTATCTACTACGTAGGCCAATCAGACTCTTGTCTTCTACCTCTGCTATCTGGTGTTTGTCAGTGGCCAGGAGAGGGGGTCACTCTCAGTCGAGGCTGTCTGTGATGTGATTCATTGCGAGATGGTGACATATATGTGGATCAAGGGGTTCTGAGGCAGCATTAGCAAATGACTTGGGACCAGCTGGGGAGAATTTAGACTCGCTTTTTCCGGCTCTTTCTTTTACTAGGTCGGCCTCAACAGAGGATCCTTTTGATTAGCGTCTTCAGTTGGTTACTCGGGTTTGTGAGGTTTTGGGGGTCTCTTCTATTGCACTTGACATTTTTTGGCAGAAAGGTCGGCAAGTGACAACTTGGTTTTTCCTCCTCCTTCTTATATTGCTGTTCATGCTGGGATCTTTGCCACTCAGTTATGCAGCAGGGTAACAATGCCTTGTCCCCCATGTTTATCAGAACAGCATGCTTTGGCTTATCACCGCCAGGTGGAGGTATATATAGATTCTCAATGGATGGACCCCTTTTAGACCTGTGGGGTTTTAGATTGGAACCTGTGATCACTTTGAACAGATCATAGTTTTCTCAGACTCATCTTACTCTCACGACTGTCCTCAGGTATTTATCTTTGATCCAACTTTTGTCAGGAGCCTATCAATGTTTTCCTCAGTAATTTGAGGACGAATTAGGTTCTTGAGTTCTTTCTCTGGTTTCTTGGCAGGTTTGTTGTTGGGATTTATTGGGTAGAGACACCTTGTTACAAAGTATTTGTTTACCATCTTCTGCCCTCAGGGAGTTACAGAAAGCTCCTTTTTTCTGTCCCATGTGGTGTGCCAGAGTTCCAGAAACGTTAGAATCACAAATTAATTCAGCATGTTTACATTCTTCTTTATCGTCGTTGGCTTCTCGCTTTTCTGGCACTAATGTGGGAGTGTTTCCTGACCTCTTTCTTCGGTTCCCAGGTCTATTGGTTCCCATATTAGAGTCCGTCTGTATTCTTAAAGATCTTTGGCTTGGACAGACTGTCAACAATGGCGTCAGTGACTATCCCATAGGCAGGGGAGCAGTGGGAGCTCAATTACATCACTTTCTGGACATTTGGAGCTTTTTCACCAGGGATCCATGGGTACTTCATCTTTTGGCTTCAGGGTTGGTCATTCAATTTACATCACATCCACCATTATCTGCACAACCTGTTGCCTTTTCACCTCCAACAGATCCATGGTGAGTGGAGCTTCGTTCCCAGGCCATAAGAGAATTGTTAGTCAAAAGGGTCGAAAGGGTAGAAAGGGTCGATCCCACTATTCTGAGATTTTATTCTTGTTTATTCATTGTACCCAAGATGACAGGAGATTGGCATCCAATCATTGATCTGTCTCGACTCAACAAATTTTTAGATCCTCCTCACCTTACTAAAGAATCTTTTCTCTACCTATGATGGCACTTTGTGCCAGAGCTCTAGATGACCAAGTTTGATGTTACTGACGCTTATCTCCAAATTCCCGTAGCAAAATCTTCCTGGAGGTTTCTCAAATTTGTGCACGAGAATAAGGTATGGCAATTCAGGGCTCTACCTTTTTGTTTTGTATCTGCACCTTATGTCTTCTGCAGAGTTGTTTGAGCTTTTTATCATCATCTGCATTCCGTGTGCTTGTGCACACATCATTATATGGATGACTGGCTCCTTCTGGCAGCATCCCATCAGTTAGCAGAACCACACTCTCAAGCTTTCCTTTCAAAAGCCACAAAAGTGGTCTTCCTTATCAGACTGGAGAAATCTATTGTCACTGGTGCAATATCTCGTCCATCTGGGTGTGTTTATCAATACTCACTTAAGTCGAGCTCAACCAACCCCTATCAGGCTACAAGCCATGGAAAGAACCGCCAGGCTTTTACTTGTGTCTCCTCCTACTTTGCAGATGGTTCTTTCTCTTTATGGGATGTGTGCATCCCTCAAACCTCTTAATTTCATTGGGACGAGCACATATGAGGTACATGGATCATGCATTCCAATCCTTTGTATCACTTTGTCTCATTACTCAGGAGCAACATCATTGATTGCAAATGGTGGTTGGATCGGAACAACACTACTATTGGGTACCCATTCCACAACTCGTCCCGCGATCTATCTGTTAACAGATACATCTCTTCAGGGATGGGGAGCTTATCTTCAAGGTCAGGAGTTTCAGGATATTTGGACAGAAGACAAGTCTACCCTCCATATCAACATTCTAGAACTCCTTGCAGTACATCGGGATATAGTTCAAGGTCTGTCTCTCTTGAAGGGAAAAATTGTCATGATACATTCCGATAATTCCACGGTGGTTTCTCAGATTTCTAATCAAGGAGGCACACATTCTTGAGACCTTTGTTTTTGTACCGTAGATCTTCTTTACTGGGCTCATTCCCATCTTATCAGTCTTTTAGCATGTCATGTTCCAGGAGTGATGAATTTAATTGCAGATCACTTGTCTTGACCCAACCAAATTCTTCTGACGAAATGGATGCTACATCATGAGGTTTTTCTGTGGATTTGCTCTCAGAATGGGTCTCCAATGATTGATGCCTTTGCAACTCATTGGAATTCTCAACTGCAGTTGTTTTGGTCTCCAATACTTCATCCTTAAGCATTGGCAGTAGATGAGTTCAGTCAGGACTGGACAGGTTTACATCTGTATGCCTTTCCCTCGATTCGGCTATTGCCCGGGTTCTGACTATGGTTCGTTCCACTCCCTGTCAAGTTTTCTTGGTTGCACCATATTGGCCAGCTCTAATGTGGTTTTCACTTCTTCGGGATCTGCAGGAACCTATACCTCTTTCACACTGACAGTCTCTGTTGAGACAACCTCAATCAGACATTCTCCACCCAGATATTCAGAAACTCAATCTTCAAGCTTGGAAGTTATGTGGTCCTTTGTCCGACATAAGAGTTTAACTTCTAAGGTTTTTCTGAATTTAACTAAATCTCTCCATAGGCCAACCACAGCCGTTTATCAATGGAAATGGAATACTTATTATCACTGGTTTAATAAAAGGAATTTAAACCCTCTTCATCCTAAAGTATCTACCATATCCCGATTTCTGACTTGGGTATTTGAGAGGGGTCTTGCTTTGTCTATGGTTTCTTTATATAAGGCATCCTTATCCACTATTTTTTGGTATTCCCTGAATTGGAAGGTTTTTGAATCCTCAGTACTATCAGGTCTACTCAAATCCTTTTGTATTCTTTGACCCACACCTTTTCAATTACCAAACTGGGATTTAACATTTGTTTTACATGCATTGACTCATCCTCCCTTTGAACCCTTAGCTTTGAGTTCTTTGTTTCACCTTTCTCTTAAGTTGTATTTTTTGTTGTTGTTGGTTTGTGGACGTCATCAGTTGGAGTTGTTTGCAATTCATGTGCATTGTACTTCTTATCATTCCACATTTGTTCTGCATTACCCTGACAGTTCTTTTCTTCCAAAGACTGGCAGCTAGGGAAGGGGAAAGATCCTTCTCACCAATTCATTTGCCATCCATTTCTCACCTTTATGACTGTTCTGATCCTGATTGTTTGTTATGTTCTGTTAGGGCCCTCAAGTGTTATGTTGCTCGTACTAACTCATTTCCAGGAAGTAGGAATCGATTGTTCATTCATTGGAATCTTTCTATTTCCCGTGACTTATCTCCTATTACCCTAACAAGGTGGATTCATAAATTGATTCACATATCCTATAATGGATTATCATTACAGGAGAGGAATCTTTTGCATGTCACATTTCACCAGATTTGTCCTATCTCTATGTCATTAGCTGCTCGGTTGAATTGCCATCTGGAAGACATTGTGCGCGCTGGTATGTGAACTACTCCTAATACTTTTCTATTTCATTAATTACATGATCTGGCAGTTTCCTCAATCATATACTTTTATTTTCAGGGTCCCTTTATTTTTCACTGGATCCCATTCTGTAGCAAGTGTTGCCCAGGCATGTATGGTTTCTTTTTTCAATTCTGCACTGGCAACCACTTTCACTATAATTACTACAGGTTGCAACAGGCTCCGTCGAAAAAGGGTGTTCCATAAGACCATCTAAGTGCCTACGGATGGTATTACCTTATTAGTATGGACTGCCACTCATCGTCCCTGCCAATCTTCAGGTTGAATGAATCTGGGTTAGTTTGCTTTTAAAAAATGTAGGAAACTTGGTTCACCTATTGTAAAGTTTCCAGAGCACTGTTCCTCAGGGCTCCTCGATGCGTATTACCCCCCCCCCCACCCCCCCACACACACAGATCCTACTAGTGGAGCTCTGGAATCCTTACCACCCCAAGTTTCTAGTCACTGGAGTGGTGGACAAAGGATTTTTCTCCAGAGTGTTTGAGTGTGTTCCTCCACTCTTGGAGAATAGGCCGAAGTTGGGGGCCCTCCTCCTTGGGTCCCTGGATGTTTCTCCCAGATGTCAGTAGGAGTGGTACCAGCCTCCGTGGGAACCTACTCCTAATACCAGTTCAGATTTGACACAGAGCTATCTGATTTGGGGGTGCATGGCCCTTCTCTTTGGTCAGTGTTGTATTGTTCATGGAAGGAGGTCCACTATCTCCACTATCATAACTTTGAATGTGGAGTGGTCCCATCCTAGGTCCTTGATTGAGCACAGGTTCCATGTCCTCTCCATAATTCCAGGGGCAAGTGGAATACTCCTTGCCCACTTGATTGGGGAGTGAGGAAGAATGTTCATAATTCCAAACCAGATGAGTTCTGTTCCTTTGGTTGAGTGTGGCATACACAATCCCATCATTCCGAGCCTGGGGTGTTGCCATTTGGACTTCACCAGGTGGAGGAGAAAGTTTGTCCACTTTGGAATGTCTTAATTTCTCATTGTGATTCTGGTGGTGTGAACGCATCAGTTTTTGGCTACAGGTTGGGATCCAATCAAAAGTATATGTAACATTGCTGTCCAATAACTCTTGCCACCAACATGGGATTAGGTACCATGATCCCCTTAATTCCAACACAGAGTTGTGGAACCTCAGCTATCTGGTTGGGGCTGGCCTGTACTGACAATTACTCATATTTTATTCTACCTTTGTTATAGGAACTGATTTCTGGTGAAGAGCATACCTGTTCTGAATGTAGTGCAGTTCCCCCACTCTTGTACCATCTTTATCTTGGTACACTTCTGGTCTATACAGATGCTTTCTGTATGTTTCATGTCTGTGCTGGACCCTCCACCTTCTCAATGTGGGATTCTAGCTATTGTATCAATGGAGGTAAGTATGTTTTGAAAGTTAACATTTTCCTAAACTGAAAATGTATTTCCAATAATTTTCACCTCTGCTGACACTCTTCCACCTTACCTCCCTACTAAAAGCTAGTTTATCTCTTGAAAAAGTGATTACATTATCTGAATGAGGTGCTTATATACAGTAATTAGATAGAGGGCGCATTGAAGTTGATGGATAATTTTGCAAATTAGAATTTGCCAAGGGCAATCGAGTGGGATATAAAAGACTGGAGCAAGCATTTTCACTCTTAGATGGGCAGAGTGGAAACCCTGGAGATCAAGAAATGGCTATAGTGTCAGTGGATGTAAGTGTTATTGAAAATGCATTTTCAGTTTAGGAAAATGTTAACTTCAGTTCCATAATTAGAAATTAAATCTAGAAATTAATATACATTTCAAACAAATGATTAATTTGTGAATGCATAGGATACAAGAAAAGTTTTGTATGTGGTAGGTAAAAAGAAAAGGGGGGAAATAAATCTTTAACTTATGCTCTAAAATGTTGACAGTTAAATATATTTTATTTCCTTCTGTTTTAAACAATTTAGGAATTGAAATTTGTCAGGAATTAATTTTAATTTTCTTAGCATTATTATTGCAGAGTGCTTGAAGTTGACTGTTTCATGTGTTTGTATCATACTTTGGTTTTTATGTCAATCCAGCATTTATGTTGGTAAATCTTTTATGCTCCAATTTGTGATAACAAATTGAAATATAGTAGCTGTATTTAAATGTGATACAAAAGTTTATTTTTAGGCATTGTAGTGTCCAAGAGATTTTTGCGCTTTTTTGTTGCTGTTGTCTAGCTGTAAATTTAATATTAAACCCACTTTACTAAATTTTAATATTTAAAGTCAGATGTATTTTTTCATGCATTAGTACTATTATTTATCTTTTTATTATACATTACAGAAACCTGTTCTTAACATAGACTTTGCTGCAACATTTTTGGACTTGGCTGGTATTAAAAAACCAGGCTTCATGGATGGAACTTCTTTTGTACCTCTTATAAAAAATATTACTTCATTACATGAGTCATGGCGAACAGAATTTGTTGTGGAGCATAAGGGAGAGTCAGTTGTTGGGCCAGTGAAAGGTTGTCCCCAGTACCCCAATGGTGGGGTCAAGGTGAGTACTATTTACTAAACATTGAACAATGAAGAATTGTACCCCTGTGGTAGTACCAAGGTTAAAGTATAAGAATTTAGCAGTAGAAAAAAGAATAGAAGCATAATTATGGTAGTATTTATTGGTCAAAACTTTGACATGCTAGAACACCAAAATCTGTCTTAAGACACAAAATGTCAACTTGGTTGAACTTGCAAGAATAAGGTTTTAGTATATGGTCTAACAATAAGATTGTAAACTCAGTCTCTAAAACAAAATTAACAAAAAGCATAAACTTAATGGCCATGTGCTTCCACAGCAATGCTGCTTTAGAATTACATGCTTCTTATGGTGTGAGTATAATGATAGATTAGCTTACATAATATTCTTTTGAGTAATAAAGTATCACATTCATTAAGAAGTAATTTCTATATGTTAGTAAGTCCCATTTGACTTCATGGAGTGGTGTACGTATCAATCAAAACAAAGTATGCTGCCATATTAAATATCAAGAGTTTTCTTTGAGCCAGAGGTAGTGAAGTGTGTAATTCATGATGGTAAGAGCTCGGGGTATATTGTTGTTGGACTAGCTGATAAATAACCATCAAAATTATTTTGTCTTGAAACTAAAGAAAGTATAAGTTCCATTTAAATAGTTGTCCATAGTTTTTGCAATTTTGTATAAATCAGAGTTTGGGTTTTGAGTGTTCTGTGGATAAAAAAATAATGATATTTGTTTTGTACCATTGTAAATGCTGTTTATAAATTGTTTAAATCAGTTTCTAAAATAGTTTTTTGACAAGTGATTTAAGAAAAAGTGTTCTTGAAGTTTTGTGGACAGAAAAAGTATTTTTCAGTAACATGATTCACTTCTCTGCACAACAAAGAGCAATCACCTTACACACACTGCTGTGTAACTCCCTACAGATACCAAAAACCTTGAACAAAGCTTCCACTTTTACACTTGCCATAGTGTATCATGCCAACCCATGATGTAATCATCATTAGACCATAGCCTTCACAATAGGGGGGCAACATATCATTCATTTTGCACCACTACTTGTCTTCAGATGTTTTTTATATTTCAGCAGTTACCAGAACTTTTGAGCTTATTACTTTAAGCTTTCATTACCATTCATTTTGTAGTCTTTCCTTTGTTAATTTTTGTATGTACAAGAATGATACCATGTTTTAAACATTTCAGTTAAAATTTTGATTTACTTTATCTTCAATTTGATTTTCTTTCTCTCATATTTATACTTCTGATATATATATATATATATATATATAGCCCATTGTCTATCATCGTTGTTTAACTCAACATACAGGTTTCTTCCAGTACTCTTCACAGTGGTCATTAGGCTTATGCATCATTGACATACCTGGTTATTTTTATTTCTTAGAAAAAACAGCTTCATTTCTATGATGTTTCTCATATTTTACAATAAAGAACCACTACAAAATCATTCTCATAGATCAGTGGATTATGCATTCATGTTTCTAACATCCCCTAAGGTTCTTTACATTCCTTGACAGGTGTCATCCAAGACTCTAAAGGCAAATGGAGGTACTCTGATGGTCAATGATATTATTTCCATTGTGCACCATGTGGTTGATTTCATTCTAACCTCAGATCCAGGATTCCTAACCAACTGACTCTGTTAATTTAGCTGAGTCTGTCCTATCAGGTATTGTGTTTCACCACTGTTGTTTCCACGAAAGCTTTTGGTTTTAGTTCCCTCTTCCCATCAAGGATCAGGTAATTCTATCTTCATTCTTCTCTGCTTGGATTCGATACATATAAGTCTTGTTTTCTCTTTCTCGGATTATTTTTTGATGAATTTTGGGCTTTCTTATTTTATGATCCTCCATTACTTGAATATCTTCTTTCAATTTAGAGATCTCTTCTTTTTCTCTCCATTTACCATATTCCTTTCTTACTCAATTTCTTCTTTAATTCTCAAAATTTCCTTTCTTTTAGGGGCTTTATGTCATGATCCTGCCAGCTTTACTGGGGCAACTTGCACAAATCAACTGTCCACTGTGCCCTTCATTTTCTTCCATTTTGTCCCAGTTAACTTTCTTTGTTTATGGGATGTACTTAGATTGCCTTAGTTTCTGCCATTCACCTCCATTCATCTCTCTCTCCAGAACCTGTATCTTGCACGTTTTCTTTTTGATTTGTGTTTTTGTAGTATATCTTCTACTTTAGCATCTTTAGCTGATGTGAACTGTGAACTCCCTTTGTTACTACCCAGTGAGTTACTCAAATACATTATCAGTAGTTTTTTTTCCTATCCTTTTACTCTCCATCTCACCGTTTTCAAATTCCGTTGGACAGTTCCTCTACCCAACTCTGTACTTTTACTCCCATCCCTATGTCATTTCCATCAAGATGGATGGTTGTTGACTAGTCATCAGTCTGTCCAACTTGACCCAACTCTGGTCTTCCCTTAGTTCCTGATGGATAGTTTCTCACTGTGTGGTGGATAATCTCCCCATCGGTGGATGATCCAGATTGAAATCTTGGACATTTTCTCCACGTCCCTATTTGTTCACCCACTTCCACTTTTGATTTGTTCACAATGGTCAAACATTCAGTTCTCAGCCCTTCCCTTCAAGTTGGTTTTGGCCTCATCCTTCCTCTTTGGATCCAGTGGGGTTTTACTTTGTGGTTACTTTCTTGAGGATGGTTGTTCCACTATTCTATGAGCATTTGACCTCTACTTTCCCAATGTGGACTCCTCTATTGCAACTTCTCTTCTTTTTATGGAATCATCTTGTTTGGGGTGGCTGGTTCAGTTCTCTGATTCAGTATCAACCCTCATACTGTATCTTATTCACATAGTGGTTTTTCTTGCTTCATATGGATGTATGTATTTCAGACTTGGAGCTGTGTATCCCAAGCTCTTATGTCTCTATTTCCTGCATGCGAGAATTTGTCTCTTTTTGGGCCTGCTTTTTTCTCATGCGTTCCTTGCTCATTTTGAAGGTGCTCATACATATATCCTTCAGTGGTTTTTGTGGCTTCTGGTCTGTCAATGCTGTTCTGTCATGACCAAAATATGCCCCTCTTTCCCCATACTTGCTTCTATATGATGTCCATTACACCAAATTACACTTATGGGCTCCTTTTGTCACACATACATTTTTCCACTACTGACTCTGTTTATGTGGGGTGTTGTTCTGGATGATACCCGATCCATTTTTGGCATCTGATCTCCACAGGAGAGGTTTCTTTATCTTTATGTCCTCAAAATGGTGGCTGCTCAGCAGGTTTGCCATCATTGTCTGTCTCATTTGTTTGATCCTTTTATTATGATCCATTTAGACATCTCAGTTGTTTCTTCAATTTTCCATATTGGAATAATTTGCTCTCAGGGCCTCTGTTTCCCTGTCTCTGCACTTTCTCTTTTGGACCCATGACCCACCACATTCAGGTTTCAGTCTATCATGTCTCAAGAGTTCAAGCCATGATTGTAGTCTACTATCTCATCTGGACTTGGACCCTTCTTATAATGTAGTTTGTCTATACTTTGGTGTTTTCAGTGGATTTGCTACTGCTATGGGAGTCTTATCATCACTGAATTTCCAACTTCTTTCTATTTCTTGCTTGTTAAGCTGTCCCTCTCACTCTTTTCTTGGCCTTCTCCCACACTTTACCACTGGGACCAATTATCTTCTTCCCTGACACTCCTTCCTGACTTGGGTAGAATGATATATTGTTTTTTTTCCATTCATCCTCCTTTTCCTTTCTTCCCTGTATGATCATTAAAACCCAGATCATCTCCTTTGTTCTGTGTGGTCTTTTCATACTCTCACTGGTACTGCTACGTTTTTCTAGGACTCTTGCTGACTTCTTTTCTCACCTGGGAACACCTCGTATTGATGCCTTTGCCACACATACACTGGAACAACAAACGTTTTATTTTTTCTTATGGTCTCCTGTTCCACACTCATTAGCTTTGAGAATGGGTGTGTTCAGTTAGAATTGTAAGGGTTTTCACATCAATGCTCACCCTCCGAATCGACTCCTGTCCAGAATTCTATCTCTCATCCAGACCACTCCTTGTCCAGTCCTGCTTGTTGCTATGTGTGTTGGCCTGCACAGCCATAGTTCCCTCTGTTTTTGCCTTTACTTGTACAACATCCCCTGCCCTTACCTCTGTCTCAGTCTCTTCTCTGTCAACCTTGATTAGACATTGTTCATCCAAACATTACCAAACTCTGTCTTCACGCTTGACTTTTGTCAGGACTATTGCATGCTCATGATTATACACTCAGTGAGAAGATGGCAAAGCTGGTTTCTCTCCTTCCATTTCCCCTGGGTACTTTTTCGAAGGTGGGCAGCAATAGACAAAATATATTGGTGGGAATGGGTCCAGCCTACATGGAATCCAGGTTCAGGATGACAACGCCCTGTTCCTATGGTGGAGTGCAGGAGATGCCTCTCTTCTCATTAATTCCAGTTGCATAAAGTTCTTACCCTGCTTCTATGGTTGAGTTTAATAGACTTCACCTGCCTCATTAATACTGGCCTTACTCCTATGGTTGGACGATTGTTCCATGTCATCCTCATAATTCCAGGTACAGGATGTCTCTGCCCTGCATTTACAGTTGAGTAAGTTATGATTTTGCCTGTAATACTGGTTACAGCTTTACCTTGTTCTTATGGTTGAGTCGAGTTACTGCCATGACCCTATAATGCTTGGTTCGGTTGTTATACTTCTTGCTTCTACGGTGGTTTTGGAGTTTGTCTGGTTACGACCAAAAGCTCACTTCTTCACTGTAATTCCAGTTGCTTGACGTATGACACCCTGTTTATTTAGGTTTGGGGTTATTGAGAATATGTAACACAGTCTACAAGCCCTAGCCACTTTGTTCTTATTACATTTTTTTTATCATCAACCTCTTAATGTTGAGGATGAGTTATGGAACCTCATCTGTCCGGTTGAGGTTGGGTATGTACCTAGCTAATTTTGTTTATATTGTTACGACAGCAGAAGTCATGTGATGCTGGGAGCATGCTCGCTGGAGTTTCTCGAATTATCGAGGAACCCTGCAAATGTCCGAGTGTTTGCTAGACACCATCTTTTTTAGTATATAAGCCTGGTGAGAAAAACCAGTGGGATTGAAGAGACAGATAATTGAGTC